CCTTCCTTCCCTGTCCTTAGAGGGCACCCTATTTAAATTGCTCACTCTGCAATCTACTACAATCACAACCCGTGCTTTGTCACCACTGCTTCTCTGTCCTACGTTTCCCCTGGCGTCATCCTGCAGTACATTGAAACTATTCCTAGTTGGCATAGCAGCATTTTCTTCATTTACACGTGTAGGTATCAGTCTTTCCCGCACTACATGCAACCCTTCACCCTTTCGAGTGGATGACCCCTCCTTTCCGCCATTCTGACCCACATGTGGCCTACCCTTCTCATGCCTGTTCTGCCTAACCCTGTATAACCTAACAGCAATGCTCCAAAGCTCCTCGCAGTTGGCCAAAACCTCACTACTTAGCTCACTACACTCAGTTGACACCTTCACCAACGTCTCAGTCTTGCTAAGTCTAAACAATCCTGCCAGTCCTTAAAAATGTGTAGCTCGTCCCTCAGAAATAGATTTCCTGACTAACCAACTCACACTTGCACTCACACTTTCTAGCCCTAGTCGTGATAGTACTAATTTTTTGTTTGTTTTTATTTGTTTTTGTGTTTTTTAACCTTTTGTTATTTGATCTGCACTGGACTACCTTGCAAACTAGCTGGTAAGGTACTTAAACTATTATTGCCCGAATACAAAATCTTCTCATCGCCTGATTAGCGTGCTCCGCAAGCTATGATGTTTTGAAACCTGCAATACTATAGGTTATATGAAGCCTGAATGTATCATTTCACTGCTGCCCACCATACCACATAACCGAAAAGAAGACAGCTATCTTATTAACTAACAGAAATCAATCACTATCCTCAAAACTCAAGATATACGAACGTATTTCCTAACATAGCCTAGTTTTGACCAAATGCAAATATGGTGCAAATGTGAAGTGGTAAACCCTAAACCCTAAAGAATTTTTCAATTTATCCGCGAAACTGCAACGAAACACCTTAAAAAGTACTGAGTAAATAAAGTACAGAACTAAAATGATCTAAAATTACATACACTTAATCTAATATACTCCCTGAGCCGCATACTAAACCAAAAACTCTGCGCTGTCTACACACGCTCCCGCTCTGCACACGCTACACACGCTAGTTCTAAGGTCGAAGGCATGTTTTTACTTCAGTTTGCATTTTCGCCCACGCTGCATTATCAGATTATTCGCTTCTCAGTTTCATGTCCGTCGTAGTAAGTAGTCGCCCAAATGCCTGTTATTTATCACACAGTGCGGTTCATTGTCGAGGCACGCAACCGGCAGCTTAATCTGGCTGTTAGCCAATAGCCTTCTGTCGATGGGACACGCGGTGCTGAATCATTGCGAACAATAATAATTAGATGTAGTGTTTACCGATAGAAAAATTGCAATGCTCGGACAATCGTCCTTTTGTGGTGTGGTAATATGTGCACAACATTTTGGCATTTCAGATTTGTTTTGCATCGGCAGAACTGATGCCACTCATCTTCTGGGTAGTTTAGGATCTTTCCGCCGAATTGGGAGTCATATTGGACTGATAGCGTTGTTTAGGTTACTGATGAATGGCCTTACTGACTGCCGATATATATGCTTGCCATTCTCACATGCGCCGCCTCCTGAATCTTCTGAGTTGCCCGTGCTGCGCTCTGCCGATGATGGTTGTCTGATTCTGTGCTGGTCGATGATCGCCATCTGGCCACGTAGCGCTGGAAAGCTTGAACTAGCAAGGTTTCAGCACGCGTGGCAAAAGGGTTGGTACAATTTTCAACCACATGGAGCGTAATTTTACGCCGTTGGAAACTTCCTCCCCTTGCTACGCTTTGATAACGCTCCATCAAAATCCCTTCCCCATCATGTGTAATGTGACGTTCTGTTAGTTAATCTCTCAGATCATCCCCAGATAGACCTAGTCTGCATACAGTTACATCCTAGGGAGCTGTCACACGTACGCTGGGTGCGTGCCAACAACAAGAACACCAGACACAAAACGGGACTTATTACCGTAATAATCGACCTATGACTGTTTGCACAAATGTACTGGACATTGGTGATGGAGAGTGTAGAACGGACAGGGGCATTGCAGGCCCTCTACCGTTTCACTGATATACGTTAAGCATAGCTCAATAAACGCCCGTCAGAAATGGAGAACACTTGATCTGAAAGACCACAATCACTGAAGCGTATCAAAGGTATCGAAGGGCCATGGCGTTTGGTTCTGGGCATTGGTTGCGCGTGCTCGCACATGATGTCATCTTGGTTGCCCTCCTATGGTGTGAACGCGCGCGTTCAGCAATAGTTTATTCAGTTAAACATTAGACCTCAGAAAAATTGCACCGTTTTTGGAATGGTTAAGTCAGTCGGTCGTCAGTCAGGTAAGTTGTCAGACAGGTCAAGCTCAGAACATGGTACAGTCAAGTCCGCAAGCTGGAAAGTCCGGGCACAAGAATGTAACAGGCTTTGAATGTCCGTGCCCATGTCCTCACCGCGACCTTAATTGCAGGTCACAGGTAATGCAGCGACCGACTGTGAGTTCGCAGTCTGCTACAGCCACAGCTACCTGCTCAAAAACCAGCATTCCTGAGCATCGTGTTTGGTATATCATGGGTCTTTGCCTACGCATAGCACGACACGGAGATACACGCCGATTGTGGTATATCGCATTGCTTGCCTGACTGGCGCAGCAGGGGATCCTTTAACTGGTCACCCAGCATGCGAATCCCTGAGGCGGCCCCTGACGGCGCTCCTATTCTCCAGGTGTCCAGCACCCAGTGGAAGAAGGTGATGGGCGTGCTGTCGGGTACGCTGCCGGACCGGCCACTGAACGAGATCTTAGGACGCGCGCCGCATGAGCGCGGCGTGCACCGCTTCCTCTCCGACTTTCCCCTCGCCGAGGTGCGGAACCGGTTGGCTACCTACACTTCGTTCCTCTTCGTGCGGCACCCGCTCGAACGGCTCGTGTCCGGCTACGTCAACAAGTTCGCCAAGGCCGGGCCGGACGGCTACTTCAACCGCCTTTTCTCGGCAGAGATCAAGAGGCAGTTCGGGGACGGCCAGCCGGCCAGCAACACTTCTACCGTGACGTTCGACAGCTTCGCGCGCTGGGTTTCCAATCCGCACCCGAAAAACGTGCTGGGCGCACGCAACGAGCATTGGAAACCCATGGTAGACCTGTGCCACCCGTGCGCCGTCAACTACACGATAATCGGGAAGATGGAGACGCTAGCGGAGGATGCGCGGCTCGTGCTGCGCTCCGCTCGCGTCACATCTGTCGCCTTCCCCGCCGGCTTCCGTTCAAGGACACACGACACTGCGGCTGACCTTTTCAGCTCGCTAGAACCGGACGTGCAGCGTCATGTGCTGAGGCTATACTTCGAGGATTTGCTCGTGTTTGGGTACCGACCATCGGATTTGTATGTGGCCAACACGACGGCGCATATGAACAGCCGAATCATGTTCGAGAGTCTGTTGGTTTAGTCAGGGGGGCTAGATGGTTGAATCGAAGATTTCGTGTGATAATTAACTGTGGGTAAGTACATTTCACTAGTTGCGTTTCCCATGTGCGGAGTCTTGCCAGCCAGTAGAAGCGGACATGTTTCCACCAGTCTAGCCGTTAAACTTGCTGTTGCTCCCTGTCTGTTTTGTCTTTCTGATCGTTGTGAATGGGTCAACACGCTAGCATGTGTCCGTGACAATTATTCAGCTGGAGTCAGATTTTGTCTACCGGAGGAACGCTGGGAATGCTCCTGGTTTTCTTCTTGTCTGCTGTCTGATAAGATGCTCATCGACAATTATATTTCAAACGGATCAATCGTGGGCGTGTTCACTGAATGGTATTTCCGACGGATTAATCGTAGGCGTGTTCACCGTTCCACTGACGGATCAATCGTGGGCGTGTTCACTGAATGGTATTTCCAACGGATTAATCGTAGGCGTGTTCACCGTCCCACTGACGGATCAATCGTGGGCGTGCTCACTGAATGGTATTTCCGACGGATTAATCGTAGGCGTGTTCACCGTTCCACTGACGGATCAATCGTGGGCGTGTTCAATGAATGGTATTTCCAACGGATTAATCGTAGGCGTGTTCACCGTCCCACTGACGGTAAGGCAGGTCTCCGATCCCGTGTTTTTAAAGAACGCATCTTTGATTAGTCACGCTCGCGCTCTTCGCCTCATACGTGCCTCCTACTACTTTTCGTTACTGCGCATTAGTTGTAAGGGCACTGTAGCATTGTGGAGTCCAGTTTTCGTCAATGCAACAGCCTGGATTTAAACTCTCGCCCCGGTTCGCCGTTTTTCATAACGCGAACTGATGAAGGGAGTGGGATCGATTGCACTGACTTGTCGTTTCCAAGCTACGACAGATGGCCGCTATAGTCGCTAACAGAAGGCGCCAGTAGATTAGTCCTAATAAGATCTGGGGATTGATAAGTTGTATGGTTCTAGGTCAATAAATTACCCCATTATGTTTGTTCAAAGGCCAGCTCTTTCTTGAAATCGAACATTTTCAGCTTTACACACTTATATGTGCCAGACCATACGTCATAGCAACAGCATACCTATACAGGCTTATTTTGAGTTCAGTTGTGAGCACAGCGTTGTGTAGTTTGTGTGTTTTGAGATTGAAGTCACCAACCATGGCTCCGCTGGGTGACTGCCTGTCCCGCGCAGCCCGCGGCCTGCATGGCGCCCACGCCGGCCGACCGCGGATCGCTGCGCAGTGATCGCCAACAAACGCCATTTTTGCAAAACCAGAAAGTTCGGGGACACGTTTAAAACTCGCCCCATAGACCCACCATATGCTGCCGAAAATTTTGGCGCGACTGCAAGCGGTGCCGAAAAGGTATCGTGAAAAGATGTTATGGGGTCGTATCGATCCCTCTAAGTGAGGGTTAACTAGACCATGACGGATCAGAACGTTCGTACAGATGTCATGTTATTGTAATGCGTCATAAGTTGGCTGCACTGTCGTCCTGTCCACTTTACTACGCAACATGGCCCCTACTCGATCTCCAGATGCGCTCCTGGTATCATCGTACGTCGCAGATCGAAGTTGCCCTGTGATTCCGGTTCTCAGCAGCACGCTATTTGGTAGCGTAAGATGTAGATTTTGTTTATTTGTTAGACTAAATGGCGTCGTTCTTTAATTTATGAGCGATATTTTTCCCCAAATGCGTGACAGGCCATTGGCCTTAGCTAACATTTGCCTCACAGTTTGTGTAATTTACCGTTCTGGTACGATCTGTCTGTTTTCATTTGTGTCTAAACTTGTAGCGTCATGACGTGAATGCTGTGCCAAAAGTGCCGGTAAATCACCGCACCTTAGCGTTGTCATCAGCGTCAAGGACCAAAGCTGCCGGATTTGGGTCTCGAAACTGCCAGATAGCAGTTAGTGTTGGGGGGGGGGGGGGCCTCCGCAAAGCCAAAGTGGCGCAGCCCGGCATGATTTCCAGCGGCCTAGAAACGTTCGTCTTCCAGAGGTGCAGACTGCCACATTTAACAACGGGTGGGACGTCGGCATGCTGAAGAGGTACTCTGCGGCGGCTAGAGCAAGAATCTGATGATGAAAGAGTAAAAATATGATTCCAGTATGACGGGTGACTCCCCACACGTTAAGGATGGCTCTGATGTGGCGGGAAGACCTAATCATACAGCACATCATCACCCGAAAGGCTGACATCCCATAGCTGGCTTTTCTTCGGATTTGACGCCTTACTTACTTTTTTTCTTCACCTTGCTTTCTGTGGATTTTGCGCCCTCTTTACATCTTTGGGTCTCCTGAAATGCTGAGCCTAGAGGAAGAGCACTCAGAGCCTCGGTGACCTGACAAGAATCTGCGGCCAGATGCCGCGCAAAATGACACTTGGCGCTTGTACAAGGGTAGGGTGAGGTGGCAGGGCGCGTGGTGCGCTGCTTTCTACCCAAAAGGGGCCACCTGGAGCACGTGCTACAAAGAGTGCTGTCAGTGGCGACATGGCATGAACGCTGCGTGGCACGAATTTGCATGCTTCGGCGAATCTTAAGCATTCATACTCTCGACAGCGTGTTTGTCACTCTGTCATTGATCATTGGTAAAGGTGTCATCGTCATTTTTGTGTTACGTACAAGTGAAATCAGGGCACATTTTTCCCATTCCCTGCATATATTTGGACCAGATTTTGGTGAGCCCAGCTGATGCATTTCCTGCAGCTGGCCGCACAAATCAAGGGCGGGCATATTCACGAAATTCCGTCTCTTCCGTGGTTCCTCACTATCAACGCTGACACCTCTGGCGATGCCCCGGCGCCACACCCGCCGCCACAGCAGCCGGCCAGGTCAGCCAGCGGCTTCGCTGCAGCTCTAGGGCTGGTCGCGGGTGAGCGGGACGTGGAGCAGCCACGAGCTGACGGGGCGCCCGCCTATCAGCGGTCGGGGTCGGCCGCTCCCCGCCGCCGACGACGGCGAGCGTCCTCTGGTCGGCAGCTGCACTGCGAATGACCGGCGTGCTGTGCGGCGAGGCTTCGGCTGGGCTGTGGGATGGGGCTCTCCTGACCAAGGGCCGCCGGTGGCCACAGAAAACCAGCGAACCTTTGTGGCGTTGGCGACTGGGAGACCGGCGCCTCTGAAGATGATGCTGTTTATCGGGCCGTCAAATGGCTTAGGCTCCGTATTCCAGGTGCGATTCGAATGCAGCACGGTCTTCGCCGGACTAATAAAAGGAGATAGCAAGCCGTGGCCGTTCTGCCTTCCGGCTGGCTTGTTAGGCACGCTGTCTTGCGTCTCTCCATTGTCTCCCTGCCGCCCTTGATGTGCTGCTCCGGATCCTGCGCCACCCTGGCGAGCTGCACTCGACGGAGTCGGCAGCGGGGTTGCCCCCGGCGTCGGTACGATCGCTGGCCTGTTGGTTGTCCTGGCTGTCGGTCGCGTCCGTTTCGGCGGTGCGGGCGTGGCTTGCGGCCTGCTGGGCCTCGGCCGACGCTTTCGGGAGCATTTTGGACGCAGACAGCAGTCCGGAAACGGCAGCCGTTTGTTTGGTCGACAGTTCCCAGGCAATGGTATTGTCAGAAAGGTTCCGCAGCTAGGGATAACGAGAGGTGTTAGTTCAATCAGATGAAAGAAGAAAGCCATAGAGACCTCCGCCTACAAAGTCCCATCATTACAGTACAAAGCGCAAGGTGAAGTGGTTGTGAACGGTACGAACGATGGCAATACAACACACGTAAACGGCCGGCTAGTGAACGAAGAGGCGAAAACTGGAAATGTCCAGCCGACTCCGGCTACTAGAGCAGCTGTCGTCGAATCTGACCGATGGGCGGAGGGTAAGGCACGTCTGATCATGGATTATATCCTGAAGGACCACGGGGCGCTACATAGATTGGACAGATCTATGGATCTCATCCAACAACTTGAGTGAATGGTTCGTTCGAACTGACTGGTTTTGCGGCGCCGGCTCCTCAGCTAACACTAAACGGCGTCCAATGGGCGGACGAAAATGATGAAGCCCTCACGGAAGAACCGTTGGAAGATTTAGGTAATCATTTTGGACGTGTAGAAGGTAGTCCGGACGTCTGTTTCACCTGTGTATTTTTTAGAATGGTAAGGGGACCAGACAATAGCTTACTTCACTTTTGAAAAGCCTCTTTTTACGTATACGATATGTCAGCTGCGTGTGTTTTGTTGTTGTAGACAACTGATAACCACAGTGCTGCCGTAGGCCGTCTAATCTGGCTTATATGGTAGCCGAGTACACGAATTCCTCCCTTTTTGCTCCTGGATCCATCCATAGGTAATCACATGCGCTAAACGTTACCTGTGACTAACGTCGTTGTAGTAAATTGCATCATAACTCACGTCAATCAAGCGCCGTCCGGGTGCCGTCAAAGAAACAGCGGACGGCAGCCTGGCATTTAAGATCCAGGGGCTCGTCCCGGTATCCTTTCCAAAACCCTTTTTCGGATTCGTCTTTGATGATGTTGAAAGCTCAGATTGTGACAGATCATGTCTAGTGTTTGTTTAGGGTAAGTCGTAATGGTTTGAACGTCAGCTCCAAAGGCATGAGGTCTAGCCGGAAAAATGCGGGTCAACATCAGCCCTGCGTGATAATATCGTTTAATGTGTTGATGGTGTCTCAGGGAAATTTTAGGCGTGCGATGAGCGTCAAGAATAATGCTTGCGATTGGTGACACGAAATATGTCCCTGATTATGTTTCTGACCACGACTTTTCATACTGTAACGAGCACGGGACCAAAGGAAGCCATCTGCCTCGAACTTCTGTCACGCGGCAATTTCCACTGACCCCCTTGCTCAAAGTGGGAAAGGGGTTGAAGTACAAGCTGGGAAAAGAGAGCTGGAGCATAATTTGGTTGGGGGTCTGACGCTATCCACAACTAAATAGGAAATTACACCACTGGTACAAGCGATCCTTGCTAGGTCGAACACGTCAGGAGGCGAGCAGAATTGGGGACTTCAGGTATCTTCGCTATTTTCAGAACATGGGGCTTGCAGCGAAGAAAGCACTATTGTTGGAACTCTGAATCAATACTTTGACATTGACCCATCTGCGGTTCCGTGACCCGTGACGCGCCCAATCGAGGCGCACAGGTCACGCCCGGTGCGCAGAGCCGTACCCAGTTCTCCAAATATCTGGGTGTGGTACGACAACGAAACTAATCACATTTTACAGCGCTTGTCAAACTGCATCAACTGTTCGATGATGCAAATCTATCTTAAACCAGGTTCTAAGAGGTTGGAAAGAATATTATCATCAAAGGTTGGAAATGCTATAGCATCGTCCTGTCGCCGAACCCCGGGGCACGGTAATAAGGTCCATGCCACTGGTCTCGTTCGGATAGCTGGCCAATTGGGGATAGATGGGGTGGGGGGGAGCTCTGCTGCCTGGTGCTCTTTTTACTGCACCGTTTGCAGCTCTGAACATAATCTTCACAGACTCTTTTCAGCCCTGGAAAGCATTAATGACGTTCCGGCATTTAGTGCGTGTGATTTACCTTGACTTTGGATGATCCGACCAAACCCCATGTTGGTTAATCAGATCATTGTGTAAACTGATAACATTCAGAACATTATCCCGAAAAGGCCTTTAGAATGCACAAGCACAAGCAACGTAAGTTATCGAGACCTAAGCAAAACGTGCACGCACTAGACGGAACCTCGGCCAAGGGTAAAGAGTATAGGGAGACTTTGGCACTTTTCACCTATGAAAGGTACAGAATAGAAACACTTTTCATAGAAGGTGTAAACATATGTAAACTTAGTGTCGAAACACCGTATCACGCAATTCGAAATCAAAATGTATTTCGGGGTAGCTCAAATATTCTGGGACCGCCTCATAGGGCATGGAACAAGGTTGATATGTACGGGAGAGGGATCGCGGCTGTACTGACCTAAGTTTAACCACCTCCAGTCGACGCGTGTCCGGGTTCCGTTGACATTTGAACTCCTCGCACTTGTCGGCCACGTTCAGACTCTGGTTAACGAGCAGTAGTATTCCCACCTGCTTGCCGGGCAGCACCAGCTCTGGACAGGGCTCCTGGCTACCTAGCATCAAGGGAGGCGCTGCTGTTCAGAACTGCAGCTGGTTGACGAACGGTCGAGAGAAACAGTTAAGACAAGTTAAGAAACAAGGAAGTGAAACAGCGAAAGATGATACAGGGAAACGGATTTCGTGATTGTAAGTTTGCCTCAAACGTGAAAACAAGCACCGTTGAATGGGAAGATAATCGATCAAAGTTGATGCCAATGCAAATTTGTATGGTCGCTGCCATAATCATCATCACACTTTGCTCACGCAGGGAAAGAGATGGGAATGAAACGGACGCGGTCCGCAATGTACACTGCATTTGTTTTAAATTAGTAATCCACTTGGTTGTGGACTTTGCTTAGTTCTAACGTGTCTCGTGGCTCCAAAGGCTTCTCAGAAACACCTCCCTGAAAACAGCTGTGGTTTTCAAAGGACCCTTGCCGAAACTCACAGTGACGTTCATTTTCGGGGCATATCTGATCGCAATCCAACGCTGCTTCGTTGTCAGCTGCTAGTTTTCAGCTGCCAATGCCATGCAAGCGTCACCTAAATGGTCGTGAACAACGGCAACGGTGCTGAACAGAATCAGCTCCAGCGCAGCACCTGCTCATCGAACCTTACCGCACCTTCAGCAGCCAGGGGGAGCGGCAAGAGCGTCAGCAGCGGCGTCAGCAGCAGCGGCAGCAGCGGCAGCGGCGGCGGCAGCGGCGGCGAGCGGAGAGCACGCTCCATGTGCGCGCCCTACACGGCGGCCGGCTGACGCTGACTCAGCCTGCAGGCGCCCGCCGAGACAGGGTCACGCCGAAAGGTCGCCCGGACATGTCCGGCGCGGTGCGGGCCCGTCACCAGCCGAGCGCGGCCGTGTCCGCGCTCGGACGTGACTCTGGTCCCGGTCGACACCGCTGACGGCGGCAGGCTGCTATTAGCTTGCAATGACTCTGGGCAAGGGCTAGGCAGGCTCTTTATCTGCGCGCGGTGGCATGATGGCTGACGATCCTGATAACAGCTCACACAGCCAGTCCTGACTCCTAGCTGCTGTTGGATCAGCAGGCTCGACTCTCTGTGGCCGTCCGGGTATGGCTGGCCAGTGGACAGCCAGCCGTGTTCACTTACACAAGACAACCCAGGGATGAAGACGGGCCTGGCTCTACACGACAGTGTGACGAAGCCGGAAATGCAGCAAGATCCGCGCTGATTACGCACCTGGAGCCGGTACCGGCGCACCGTGGCCTGCGCGCTGCGATTTCGTTCGAACCCGTCTGCTGCACGCTCGGCTGGTTAGCGCGAGTCCGGTTATCACGTCCGGCATCGCCGAACTCTGGGGCACGGCAACAGTGTCCATGCTCGCGGTCTCCTGCGCGTAGCTGGCTAATTAGGGATAGGTGGGGAACTCTGCCGTCCGGTGCTATTTTTACTGCACCGTTTGCAGCTCCGAACATAGCCCTCACATTTTATTTTCAGCCCTGGATAGCAAGCATGTCTGCTCAGCTGCTCATACAGCTTAAAGCCATCGCCCCCGTGAGCGTGGTTGCACCATGGTGGCTGGAGAGGAGTGCAGAACGCTTAGCAACGGGCCACGCGATCCAATCAACACTTGTCGGCTGAGCCCTTGGTAGTACAATTCCGTCACTCAGGCAAAACCGATTGGGCTGCTCTCGTTTCAGATATGGAGGTGCTAAGCGCGGCCATTGCTCATGACCAACACAATGCGCAATCGCTAAACAATTCGTGTCATGTTTTTGATATCACACAAAGTAATCTGGCCTGAGAGTTGTACGAGGGCTGCACGAGAAAGCCTGCAACTGTCATATTGATCACTCGGGCCCCTCTGAATTCGTGTCATGCACACTGTCCTCTGACTGTGGAAGTGGAACGTCTGTCCAATCATCTCTGCCAGTCCGCACAGACTGTTGTTGCTTTTGGTAGCAACACCTGTCGTCGCCTTCTGGTTTAGCACCACGAGCGCCGGCGTCCGCACCGTGGCCGCTTCCACAGGTGCAGCGAGCCGCCGACTCCGCCGCGCAGGCCTGCCTGATCCATGGATTTCCCGAATGTCCCGTCGTGGACGCCAGCATCGTCCTCGGTACCCGGCGCCGCCCGGTCTGGTTGCGGCAAATGTCACCGACTTTGTAGAAGCGCGATAGCGTGCCTAAACGTTGGATCTGTACGGCAGGATTATGCACCGCACGGAGTAACGGAACTTGCTAATACCTTCTGGTGTATCAACCTCGGGCTGATATAATCCCGATTGTGCAAAATTCGAAGAGCGCTCTTGCAATCACAATGCAACGATATTTATTTTTTATTAGCACAGCAAAACACTTTTATTAGCAGTGTGTATGATTTATTACAACGTTTATTCAACGATTGACGTCCTGCACAATCCGCCGCTCATTAGACCGATTTGGAATTAACATGATGGCTGACTGCAAGCGGACAGAGGCAGTCTTCCTGAGTCGCAACTCTGACTTAACACTGGTGGTTACGGAACAATTCAACGCAACATTATTGTTTGAAAGGAAGTCCCATCTCAAAACTACATCGTGCGAGAGGTCATGCGCCACAATGAGCTCAGCCACCGTCGTCTCTTCTTACACCCCCTAAGTCTCTGTGTTAAGGGAACAGATACCCAACGCAACGCGTTTGAAAGATGGCCTGACGCTGACAGCAGCGTCTCGGGCGGGCGGCTCGAGTTGAACGTTAGGTGACACCAAAAACACGGCTCACAAGAAGACTGACTTGACTGTCACTGTCCGAACGTGCATCGCTTACCAAAAAAGCCGTTAACGTGTACATGCGACGCGGGGAGCGTTACCACTTCCTTGCCAGCCCGCCCAATGCCCCTTTGGGCAGTGCCTCTTCAAGTGCCCGAAGCCGAATTTCGAAGAATTATGCTCTTCAAGAAAATTATATTTTGTGAGCAGATTAATGCAGCTTTTTGCTGCCTCGTTTTGGCAATGCAATGGAATTCAGGAGACTGAGGCCGATCTACGCTGTGACACGACAGGGACAGATTTTTTCGGGCATTTTCCATTGAAGTAACGTCTTTTTCTTGTGGTTACTCTTGGGATATCTGCTAGCTTAAACAAAGCGTCCATTTCAGGGACAGGTTCGAAGCGACTTTTCTATAAGGCAGTAGTATTGGCCTCATTCCTCGGAAAAAGACGGGAGAACAGATATATAGTTAGGTTGGTATTAATGCAACATACCTTTATCGAAACAATAGCAGAAGCACTTAAAAACTAACAAGAAACAAACACTTCTGCAATTGTTTCGATAACGGCATGTTGCCGAAATATCAACCTAAGTGTATCTCCATTCTCCTGGTTTTTCCGAGGAATAAGGCTAACTCTACTATCTTATCTATGTGAATAATGTTCCTCGCTTACGCAGTGAACGACTCACGTAACTAATTTTTACATTTAGGAGACGAAGTGCTGCCTTGCAATGTCCCGAGTTTTAAGAAATTCAGGCCTTTAGAATAGGATCGCAATGCGCCAGTCTGTGTTAATTTGCCACAATTTTAATTGCTCGCTACTTTAGAAGGTAAACTTTGATTGCATAACCTGGGAATTTAAAACCCCATACAAGGCAGCAATAGTTTATGCATTGCCAAACAAATGAATCGTCAAGTAGAGGCAAAGAACGTGTATCCAATAACTTGCATCGCTCAATGACGCCAATACTGCGATTAATACCTGAAGATAAATGCTCAGTGTGGTGGTTCCATTCCAAGCTGGAGTTAATATGCATTCTCAAATGCTTCACCTTCTCTACTTCTTTAATGGTGACATCATTAAGTCTTGTGCTGAAGTTGCAAACAGTGCGAGAGTTGCTGTATAATTGATACACTGCTTTCTGAGCGTCCAGGGACAATTTATTGATTGCAGCCATCTGCAGTGTGGCGTAAGTCTTGGTCAATTTGTGTCTGAAGCTTACGTGTTCCATCGGCTTCACGTTTTTATCCCGTAAATGGGAGCTCTGTCTTTCGATCACCCACCTGCAACAAGTTTGCTTAGTCTCGTGTGTGTCCGAAGGTGGAGCCTTGGACTTGCATCCCGCGGACCAGACCTTTGGCCTTTGCAGCCTGTGCGAATGTCATTCTACTAATATCGTGTGGGTGATACTTTTCCGGGCGGGCATTAGCGGCCAACCGCATGCTGCCTTCGGCTACGACCACTATTCTGTCTCCCTCGCTTAATACTGCTAATGACTGGCGTGACCTGCTGGTGGGCTTTGCAACCTCGCTCTTTTATTTTTGTTTTTGCCCCTTCCTCTTACCAGGGAGTGCCGCGGCTTGCGTTTATTATTTTTGGTGTTAACATAAGGTTCACTGTGTCGCCGGGATGGTAGGAGCGACACTCATTGTCGCCCGTTAATGGCTGGCGGTTAGAAAAGACAAAAAGCCCCGGCAGGACCAGCATTGCGCCTTCCGTCGACGTTCTCCAGTGGGTGAGGGCGGCTGTCTACCCCCGCCATCTGAAGACGAGCCGTCGACGTCACGCATCGTGTGCCGCCGCCCATCCGGCAGAGTAGCATGGCACACTCCACCATGTGGTAAGGGGAGCGAAGACAGTGATCGGCGGGGCCTCCACCAGGTGGCAGCAACCAGCGCAGGCAACCGTGTCGAATGCTGCCGTCCTCCCGGCGGATCGTGTGGCGCGCGGCCATCTGGTCAGCGACTTGAAGATGTGATCGGTGGAGCTCTCGCCAGGCGGCAGCCGTCCGCGCGGGTAACCGTGTCGAATGCTGTCGCCCTCCCGGCGGATCGCGTGGCGCGGCCATCTGGTCAGCGACTTGAAGATGTCATCGGGGGAACTTCCGCCAGGCAGCAGCCGACTGCATGGGAAACCGCCTAAAGCCGACGCCAGCGACGCCTGCCGCGCGATCAAGCGACCGCTAACCGTAACGTTCGCGGCGCTAGTAGTTCTTCTCAATGGCGAGGTCGCGACCGCCTCGAGACGACGCCAGCGATGACGTGGAGCATTCACTGCGCTCTGCGTGCACTGCGCTACTCTCCGACCAGTGTAGGTGCGGAGAACTGCGCCAATCACCTCCCAACGAGCGGAAGGCGAGCTCTTCTCGCTTTAGTTCGTCGACAGCTGCATCGAGCGACGCCACGCCCTCGCGCGACAACAGCATCTTCTCTACAGATGATTCTAGCAAAACATGGCGATGCATTGCAGCTCGGTAAGCTGGAGTGCAAGTGTTTTTCACGTAACCAGCCTAAACCAGCCGTAACCAGCCACTCTGGGCAAGCCCCTGAACAAGTCACTTCATGGGAACAGAGTGCTCCAAAACAGACATCGTGACTTTCTGAGCATTACTCAGCTGAGCAGCCGCCATCTCCGGTCGTCTGGCATTAAACCTTTTCGTTAGTAAGGAGGGCACGTCCGTTTGGTCGGTGCCGCCCTCCACGACATTCAGAGTAAGTCCACGGCACCTCACCGTCCTGATGGTGGAGAGCTGTGTGTGTAGAGATGTCGGCCAGTGCCGCCAGGGGTTAGCACTGACAGATGAAGCCATTGAGTGGTACTGCCCCACACAGTCCGGTAGGTACGAATTGGAGCACGACGCAACGCAGCACGAATCATGACCGATGCAGACACAATAAAGGTTGGTTGCTCGCCATCCGTGACATAGCTCACTTCCCCGATACCGTTGCCACCATGTTACGGCACGGCCTGGCTGGCGGATCACACGGTCTTTACTCGCCCGGGCAGCACACCCAACCCGAACGAGGTCTGTATTCAACTA